AATAGCTCCCAACAAATGTACACATGTGACATTTCCTACTGTCTGAGTGACACTGCTGAAACTCCAGTGGCCTGCTGTAGGAGACGACTTAAAATATGAAGCTATGTATTAGGCAGTTGTTCTGGAGAGGTTTAGGGCTGAGGTCTGACTGTTACACACAGATGAGGAAACACCTGTTGGGCTTTGCCTCTTCATAGGATCGCAGCAAAGGATGACAATAAATTTAAACTAAAGAAATACGAGGACATGATCATATTTACAGTAAATCTGAGAACGAGAGCTTCATGGTGATGTATTCACTCTGCAGCTTTTCTTTATTATGTGTTATTGATGAAAGAGACATCTGTATGCAGACCACTGAACTAATAAACCCAGCACAGCTTAACACATAAATGTGTGACAAAAGGGCTCTTCTTTGGTATTTACTGTCAAAGGCAAATGAAAGCAAAGGCAGAACTTGTGCGGAGGTAATAATATCTGCCTTTATGGCTGACTAGAGTCCGATCATCAAAAGGCAGGCCGGTGCGTTCGGGACTCCCTGTGAGGATGCTGGCTGTGTGAAGCTCTGCTTATTCCAGCTTTTGATCTCTCACCCAGGTCTTGTTCAGCCACCTTTTATGTCGGCCTCTCTTCAGACTGAGAGGGAGTGACGGGGTCCAGACACAAGAACAAAAAGAAGTGCTGGAGTTGAGCAGCAAGACTGACCTGAATGGGTTGAGCTCATCTCTCATCTCTGACTTCAAGTTCCTCCTGGTTTCACCTTGTCTTAAGCTCAAACACGGCAGCTTGTGATCAGGACAAACAAAGCTGTCCTGATCAAGCACTGTGCCTCCAAAGTGCTTGATTTGTCTGGCCAGAAGTCCAAATATATTTGTTGACATCAGTTAGACAGGGTGTAGTTAATAAAGTGTCACTATTACTATATCGACCAATAGGAAGAAACTATACTGTGCTAATAAATGTAGCTGTACTAACACCCATACATATGACCGTGTAGGTCTGGAGTTAGCAGGGGGTTTCTCTCCCAGATGAACTTTTCCAGTGTTGTCTAGGAGCTTCGTTAGGCCGTATTACTTGTTTAAAGGGTCATAAAACTATAAACCAGGTGGTGTTGACTTTACACTCAAATGTGTTGCATTTTTTCACAGAGAGAACTCTCTTCTGGATGTGGAAGGTGAAGATGCACCATGGCCATGTCTGGTGGTAAGACACGACGTCCACATAAGGTTCTGGTTAATATCTAAAGGACCAATAGCAGAACTGGTAACGTCAAAGCCTACTGATTCTTCGCTATTTAAAAACTCCAAAACTAATTACTTCCCAGTTTACAAAGAGAATTTGATTTAATTGTAATAAATAAATAAATAAATAAAATAAAAAATGCTCCACCCCATATCAGCCTGCGTACTCTTTATTTCTGTCAGCCCAAGCACTTTCCTCATTCCTCATCATTATACGGACTCAACTGCATGCTAAAAAAATAGAAATAAAAACTATTTCAGATAAACCATGGCACCATCAATAATTGTGCTTACAGCAGGAAAGAGCATATTTCCAGTGCCAAGTTTCAGGTCAAACCAGCCTGCCTCAGCATAAAGTTCTTCATAATCAAACAGGCAGATCTCCAGTGGGCCCGACCCGAGCTCGGCTCAGCTCAGCTCCTGTCCTTTTTGTTTTCCTGCACTCTCCCGTCTTTTTCCTGTTGTCCCCATACATGTGTAAAGCAGGTTCACATAGCCGGACATCCCTGGTATGACCATAAACAGGAGCCTCCTAGGCGTACTACCTGCTCCTCCTAACAGGTTCTTAGTCTCTACTGAATGACGGTGGCCATCTATTCCTGCATGTTCAGATGACCACCATCATGTTAACTCATTTCAACTAAAACGTGTGCACATTGTTTCCAGATCTAACCACTACCCAGTAACAAGTCTAAACTCAGGACAAACACAAGCATCCAAGAATGAATCCTCTAATCCCAGGATGTGTAAGTCTCAAGGAAGATCATAAACCCTGACAAAAAGTAGTTGAGCTATTGAATTAAGACTGCAGCGATATAACAGATCTGCCCATTTTAAGCACAAGTACATAGGAGCACCATACTTACTGCTTGAATCAAGTTCAACATTTTACTGGCCCAGTAAAAAGGGACCCCACCGCCATCCTTGGAGAGGAGATAAGAACTGGCCGCGAGTGCTGCCATCGCCTCCTCTCTCTGAAGCCTCCACTGCAAACCACTTTGTCTCCCTTCTGTGTCTCCTCTCTGAGATTAAACGTGTCTCAGAGGAAGAAAATATCAACCAGTGAAACGAACAAGATAAATTTAAGACCTGCTCCTAATATCTTGTGTCCCCCTATGGAGAGCTGTTGATTAGGACTGTTCTCATCCTGTGTGTGTGTGTGTGTGTGTGTGTGTGTGTGTGTGCGTGTGTGTGTGTCATAAAGGAGTGACTGCATTAGATAATCTGACAACACCTGCTTTTACCTCCAAGGTGCTGCTTCAAGGCCAACACCTGATACAGCTCCACAGCCAATCACAGCGACGGGCACTGTGATTGGCTGTGGGATGCTGTCCGTATTTTATATGATTACAGACACATAAGGTAGCTGATTATATAACCTGCTGAAGGTTCGGTAACATTTTACTGCTTTGTCATGTGTCAGTAAGATAAAATCCAGCTGTTTACCCTGGGTTCTATGGGCCACTGTGTAAAGACTCCCTGCTAACAGGAAGTCACCTGAGGAAGAACCAGGCTCGGTGTCAGCAACTGTCTGACTCGACCAGTTGGGGAAAAGAGAGAAGACGAGGAGGAGACAAAGAGTGAAGAGAGATCCACCAGGAACAGATGACTAGATCGTATTTGAGTACCCGTACGTTGGCTATTACAGTAACCTTAATAATAAAGACAAAATTAAATATTACAGACGGTGTAAGTTTTAAAATATAATACTACTCCGTAACACCTGGTGGGGAGGATGTCCTCTCCCAGAGGTCTGGCAGCTTGAGGGCTCTGCGCTGTATCTCTGCTGTTCCTTGGACTACCCTGTTCTGGACAGAGACCTCCCATGTTGGACCTGTAATGTGCTGGGCCCACTCTCTCCTAGCTCTGGGACCACAGCCCCTAATGCACCACATATTTTGTAGGGGCAGCTGAATATGTATTAAAAAGAAGTATGTGATTTGTGTTTCTTTTTTTTTATTCATCTACTTGTGAGCAGTCTTGGTGATTCCTCCCTTTGTTTCCTGTGTCAGTGCGTTACCACCACACTGTGATCAGACAGCACTGGTACAGCTGTGGATCATCTGACAAACATCATACAAAAGCTGCTCTGTAGCACTATTAGAGGTTAAAAACTCCCCGGGGTGCCGCTAAAAGCCTCTGCAGACTGCTCTGTTTGCTCCCTTTAAATTAGTCCAACGAGAGGGCAAATAGCTGAATAAATAAAGAGAGTGAAAGTTAGTAGTGTCAGATTGATCAAGCCTGCATGGTCAGCCTTAACTATGGATTTCTGGGGAAGCCCACTCCAAAAGACATGACTTACAGAGCCATCGATTTTGCTTCCAAGCAGTCAGGTTCGCTCAGCTGATGAAGCTGAAACAGGAAGTTAAGTCCCGCCTTAGCCTCTGCTACACAGCTCCAACAACACAAGAGACGCCTGGAAATGAATCCACTGAATACTTTACTGTGATCAGATAATATTTACATTAATAAATACATTTGCTCCCTGCTGGTAGTCAAACAGTGATTATACAGCATGCGGCTGCATCAGAAGCCTGTAGGGCATCATGGGAACCACACCAGACGCCTCACTCAACATTTACCAGAGAACTCAGCTTCTACAGGACCTTAAACACCACTTCTGGTCAACAAACCACTGTCACAGGTTTGGATAGTGTTCTAGTTTGTTCTGGAGGACTGATGCTTTCTGACGTCAGTCCACCATAACATGTTGTAGGATAAGTCTGCACCACGACATGTAATTAAAGACAGAGTTTGTTCTGAAACTGTTCTCAGCTCTGGAAGAATCCTTTGCTTTGCGATCAAGAGAAGGAGAACGTCTGATTCTGTCGCCTGGGTCCAGTTTGGGTTAACATGAAGGCGTCCTGTGGAGTTTCTCCAACACTTTTTCCTTCATCATAGAGAAGTTCTCTGTTTTCTGGTCTGTACTGACCTCACCTGTACTGGGTGTCCATGGTGCATTGCTGCTTGTCTGTATGTGCTACTGTCACCAACAGCTCAACTGTGAACATAGAGCTCAGTTAAAAAGTGAGCCATGGCAGCTGCAGGGCCAGAAACGGACACGTGGCTGAACAACGGTCCTGTGTAGATAATGAATGAGGTAAGGCAGGTGTCTGGGATGGCTGGGCTACCATGGGACAGTCAAAGCAGACATGTTGACTTGTCATGAGCTGTTACTGAAAACATGAAGAAACGATGTGTTCAGGTTGGTGTCCCAGTAGGACGTCCACTCAGACGGCACACCTTGCCCACCCTCAGCAGAACAAACCATTGGCCTAACCAGTCATCTCATCCGATAGCTGGTCTTTCTCTGACTACCAGGTGTCATGTTTACAGAAATGAATTTAGAAATGTGCTGCTTTGGCCCAGATGCAGCTGCCTGCCTTTATCTGTAGCCACCACTCTGTGGTCTCAGGCAGCGTCCCACCCACGGCATTATCTGATTGGTCACACATCACAGCCAACAGCGTACCAGCACTGAAGGAGGAACGGAGCTCCAGACTGAGCTCAGCACTGGCTAGCACTGGTGCTACCAACGTTCTCTGTTGGTCACATAATGTGGTCATAAACTAGGTAAATGTTTCCTGACACTCTGACTTCAGGAGTTTCTTGGACCTGGCTTCCTAACAGTGAGTCTGAAGAGCACCATGTCATGAAGTTCCCTTGGACCGGACTGCTGGCTGACTGATCCAGGCCTGAGTCCATCACAGCTCCATGAATACTGACACACTGCTTTCCTGGACCAACTCTGCAGCTTACCTTCGTGCACGGTCACCCCGCAGTTGTCACACTGGATGATCTCATCGGCGTCCTCGCTGTTGTCTCCCAGACAAACGCAGCAGATGAGGATGTGCTGAGTGCTCCAGGTCTGGGACCGGTCCAGCAGAGCGTCCTAAGGATCAGGAGCAGAGCCACTGTAAAGCCACTTATCAACGCCCATCCCTCTGTTCTGACCACAGATCCAGTGACTGGCACTTAGTAAATCCCAAACACGACGCTCATGGACGCCGTGCTAAGTCGATTACAACAAAGCATTCTCCTGGAATCATCTGATAACATCTGGACCTCTCCCTGGATTATGGTGTGACTCTGTGACTCATATTGTGCTGTGGTATTATGAAGCTCCACACAAAGCTGCCAATGTGGAGCTCATCTGCCTCATTTATCTGCACTGGTGCAGAAACCAGGACAAGGTGGAAGAATGCATTTGCTGTGGTGTTTGAAGTGGAAGTCTCGGGGTTGGTGCTTCCCACTGGGCCAACTGGCTGCTCAAGGGGATCCAAGGGGCCTCTGGATGGTCGAGTCTCTGTTCTAGGCCTTCACTTCACTGTTTTAAGTGCTATGAGAGAACATATGTGGTGAATTGGCACCGTACAAATAAAACTGATCTGAATTGAAGTGGAAGTGATGTGAGGAAGACTTTCTAAACTCTTCACCACCAACATCCAGTCACAGCATCACAGAGAGCACAAAACAAACACTGTGGATGCCGTCTTCATTCACTCTGCTCTGCAGCTTCACGTCTATTACAAACAGAAATGTCCATGAAAACCTAACGATACTGTAATAAACAGAGTCTGTAACCAGTCAGATTAATAAGAATTACCAACAACAAACACAAGCCCGGTTCTTAGCCTGGTTCTTAGCCCGGTTCTTCCAGCTGTTTGTAGGAGTCTTTCCTCTGAGTTTACTGAATACCTGCTTTAACAGGCTGATGAAGCAGCAACAGTACACAGAGTACTGCACTTAATTGTCTTGTTTCAAGCTAAACCTTTCTTGAACGAGGTGCTCTGAACAACACTAAGTTGACCAAACCCACTGATCCTGCTGCTCAGAGTTCTGTTTCTGCTGCGGCCGTGCTACATGACCCGTGTTCCTCCAGCTGATCAGCTGAACAGGCTGGATGGGCCACAGCGGCTCCTTCATGTTTAAGGTTCAACAACTCAGATTTAATGAGCCCAACAAAGTGAAAAAAGAGCTGAGCTGTTCCATAACGCCAGCTCAGAGCTACTGGTGAGCATCCAAAGCCTTAGTGTAGGACATATTGAACATAATCTAGAAAATAAAACATCCAGCAAAACCTAACAAAACCACTGCTACAAACAAAGCACAAGAAACCCACTGGGGACAGGCTGCAGATCACAGATGAAGTGACGCTGGTGGTGGTGATCGTGGGTTTGAGCCAGTGTGAGTAGTGATGAATGAGTATATGTTCATGTACAGCTTCAGATTAAACTCCACAATAAGTCCAGTAGCACTGATGTGTTTTCTATTTTCGATTTTATGTGTGTGTGGGACACCGGATGGAAATCAGCCTAGTGCTAAATCCAGCGTATTTACTACAACCTGAGATTGTATGTACATTAATACGCACTCTCCCATCTAGATAAACAAATAAAAAAAAATATTAACGAAAATGAGCAGATAAACGAGTTGATTTTCTTGGAGGTAAAGTCCTGAAGTGTTGAGTTCTCCATAAGCAAACAGAACTTCAGCCTCCATATAGTGGATATGCTGGTATGTGTGCCCTCATATTTAATGTCTAACAATCTCACATTCACACTGTTCTTAGATGTTTGTTTAATTTCTTCAGTGAAGCTTGAACATTGCTTCATTATGCTGACCAGATGGTTGCACACTGTTTGTCTGATGCTTCCTGCCTGGAGGTGATCAGATCTGAGTTATCTCCATGGGTCAAAGAACCAAAAGCATTGAGCTTCATTTGGACATGAGGGGACGTGGAGAGTTGGTTTTCATTTCCATCATATTAAACATTTGACCCAACACTCATATGTTCTAGAAGTAAATCCAGACTACCAGCTTAACGAGGACCCTGCTGTTGAAGCCTGTCTCAGGCCATGAGTCTGACCCTTTAGACAACGCTGACTCTCACCTCGTTGCCCTTTCCCTGGGACATGCTGTCATTGGTCAGCTCGTCATCAAAGGTCGTGCTGCTCTTGGTCTTCTTCTTGGGCTTCTTCACCTCCTTGTCACTGTCACTGCTGCTGTTGTTGTTGTCTTCGCCGTCTTCCTTTTCATCTTCGTCATCATCGTCGTCCTCGTCCTCGTCGTTGTCGTCGTCGTCGTCGTCACTGGCGCTGGCACCTTCTTCTTCCTCCGTGCCTCCTTTCTGGGCAGCTGCTTTGCCTTTCTTCTTCCCTGCCGTCGGCCTCCAGTCGTTGTCGTCCTCGCTGTCATAGTCGTCCATCTCGTTCAGCTCCTCCATCGTGGTGAAGTCCAGCAGGGGCCGGTTTCTGCGGAAGTTCCATTTCTTGGGCTCAGCCTGAGACTCTTCAGCGTTGGTGGTGCCAGACGCAGATGTTGGTGTGGACTCGGTTCCTGCAGCTCCAGCGGGCTCCGGCTCCGGCGCCGGCGCCTTCTTGCTCTTGCGCCTGCCTTTGGGCGGGGTGACGGCGGGGGTGTCTTTGGTGGAGCTGTCTGATGACGGCTGCTGCTTGCTCTTCTCTTCGTCCTCAGTCAGGTTGTCCTCAGCAGCCAGGTCTTTGGCTTCCTCCTCGTCGATACCATCGTCTGCTGAAGGAGCGTTGTCCGAGTCGCTCTCTGAACCCGCGGCGCTCGCTTTGGACCCCTCCTCGTCACTGCCGTTGCCTGTGCCGTCCGACCCTATCCCAACACAGAACAGTGACAAGAACATAGTCACATCCATCCATCCATCATCTCTACACCTTGATCAGACTAATCCCAGGCCAGCTGGATGCTGCCTGTCACTGCCCTGCTCTCTTCTCTACTTCCTGTCTTATCTAATAAAGGTAATTTAAAACAAACCTTTTTATTCATGGGGGTTAGACACAGTGGATGCTGCTTCAGCTACAGATTGTAAAGAGCATCCATACCTGAGGCATCTCCGACTTCAAAGTCACTGTCGTCCGAGCTGTCGTAGTCCAAGGCATCCAGGAGAGAGGCAGCCAGGGGCTTCACCTGCCGTCGCTTCAAACTGCGGTCCACTAACGAATAAAACAAAACACAGATATGAAAAGCCTGAGTGGACCATGAGCAGCAAGATGGCATATTTGGATTCTGTAGTTCTGTAAAACTAGCAGCACAGAATAATAAAAAACCATCAATACAAAGCAGGTTAGGGTTAGGGGTTAGGGGTTAGGGTTAGGGTTAGGGTTTGGGGTAGGCATGGTATAAACCGTGTTAGTGTGGGACAGGTACAACCTCTAATTAAGATCCAGACTCTGTCTCATTCATACCATCAGCAGATGTGACCCGAAACATCAGAATGATGGTTACATTACTGTCATAAGGAGATCAAAGAAACTCAGATCTAGCTTCCCCCTATACTTATATGTGGACGGGTCCTCGCCGTATGATTGGCGGGCTTCGTGCACGTCAGGTTTTGGCAGAAACGCGCTCCAGCGATGTGTGAATCGGTATCAGAATAAGATTTTAAATAAGATTCTTCTTCACCTTAATTCAGATCCTTCATGCAAAATACAGACAAAATGGTATTTAAAGCCCTCACATGCTGAACGAGTGGATAATCGATCAGCTGATGCTCCTGAAGCACTTCACATGCTGGCCACAGTAGATACCAGTCAGACACCAGTCAGACACCAGGTAGACACCAGGTAGACACCAGGTAGACACCAG